CGTTATGTCTCATATGCACTGAATAGATTATATAGGATTTATTGATCTTTGATATGAAATACGCAAGATTAATCTTCATATAAGAAATTATTTAAATCATTTGAATAGACAACTGATAGATAGTTGAAGAGTGAACCAAAGTACAAGAGTATAGTTTTATTTACATATATTCTTTTATTGAAACAATTTATAATAAAGGAAAATATTTACGAAAATTTTTTGGAGAAACAAATTTTTGACATTGAAGACTTGTCAAATTAGCAAAATTAAAAAGTGTTGGATCATTGGTAAAATTGTTTGTTATTGTTGTGAGTGATTCGTAGTTTATGGAAAGATTCACCAAACGAGGTAGATGCATATTTTTTACTAAAAGAAATAGTTCAGCATAGTCAACATGTGCTCCATTTAAGTCAAGAAATGTGAGATAAGGAAATGTAATTAATGTTGATGAATATTGTTTGTCTTCTAGTGGATCATCATTAAATATATATAAGAATTCGAGGAAAGGAAAATCTTGAGAGATGATTTTAAATAGTTTATGTTCAAATGGATTTCCATCACTCATTTTCAATTTTCGAACTTTATGAAATATACCACGATGAAAAGGATTATCGGGATAAACATAAAATTCGAAGTCATACGGAAGTGAATATATATGACATTCGCTATCCCATAAAGATGAGTCAATATTAACATATGAAGCTACTTTTTGATAACCTCTTCCGATGAAACTACGTTGAATATCTTCATTCGATGGAAGTTTAACTTTAACATTCATGTTGTCGACCACTGTGTTGATATTAAATGTAAATTTCTTTAATTGTGTCATATAAATAAGAAATTGATCATATAATTGAATACCATCAATATAAGTTGAGTCAAATCTTCCAACATATAGATATAGTTTGAATTCTTCAAGATTTATCATTCGACAAAACAATGGAACAAGTAATTCATTATATTCACTTGTCATACTATGTACGATAAATGAAAGACATTTCAATTGGTGAAGTTTTTTCTATAAAGAAAAGAAAATTAGAAATATTTATTTAATTATTTGATTCGGTATTATTTTCTTCTAAATATAATTATTAAAATAATATACTTACTTTTGGATCAATAGGTGGACATGGATGAAAAATTTGTCCAATATTAATAATTAATGTTGATAAACAAACGAATGGTCCATCAAGTATATAGAGACAATCAAGTAAACCCACAACATTAATTTTCAATTTGATTAAAGTTGAAGATATAGAAATCTTCGATATAACATGGAAAATAAGACTCTGACACTGCCGTATAGGAAACATATCACAAAAATCCAATGCAATTAACTTTTTACATAAAGATAAGATTAATGCAAACATATTTGAAACAATTTCCGAGCATAGTTCTTCGGGTTTTTTCATATCAATATTCAAATGAGTTATTTGTTTGGTCAAAAGATCACGAAGAATTAAATCGCCTTAAATTTAGAAAATAAAAAAGATTATTTAAGTATGTTGCTTTTTTTCAATTATAAAGACAAAATAAAATCCTATACTTGTTAAATATCGATGAAGTGTTACTTCGTGACAATTTACAAGTGATAATGAATAAAGTTGAGGATAATTGGCAGCATGAAGAATTTGTTTCATTGAATCTTGTTCAACAGTGAGTTTATGTACTTGTGAATGAATTTGAGGTAAAATATTCGAACAAATTCTTGAAAGAACTTGAGTATTTATTGAAGTTTTATGTGAATTGATGTTCATGATAGAAGTTATATTGAGATCACGAATATAAAGAGAATCAAGGACTAATCGACGAAATCGTTGATTAACATCCACAATTGAAGAAAGAACATCAATCATATTGAGTTTTTGAAAAATGATGAATAAAATTTCATCGGGTAAATCGAGCATATTAAGATGATTGTTATTTAAATTGTTCATGTGTAACTCATAAAATGAGTTCATGTCTATATATATATATAGATAGATGTTTGCATTTTCTCATTGCCATCTATAAGAACAATGACGAATAAATATCGATGCCGTCATATTGTTCTATGATAAAGAAAACAAACAGACTAAACTAATTTAAAATGAACTAACCAATGAACCAATGGAATTGATATTGCTAGATAGAAAGTCAATCATGTTTCTTAATTCACTTTGAATTAACTCAGTCTATTTGACCGCCGAATATACAATGGCATTTTTCTTTCTATTGTATATTTTTCCTTATCATTTTTTAATAATCTATTGGTCAGCTTACGACTCTCTTGTCAAACAAAAGATTTCTCATGTAGCGTACTTCTTACAATACGCAATATTACGTTTAGAATAAAATAAAATATATTAATTATAAATAACTTGGATACAGGAGATGATATCGAAGTGCGGTATTCTTTATGACATAGAAGAGACTTTGGTGCATACATCTATATATGAATTATAACCCTAAGGAGGCCATTTAAGTAGTAAGCCTGATAGGTTTTTGGAACACTACCTCTATTCTACAAAGGAGAAGGGCATAGACATGTACCAACACCGAAACTTTTGGGTTTCGAGGATCTGGGTTTTGGATGATTTGAGTTTTTTGGGTGTGACGAGGTTTATCACACTCGAAACCTGACCCCCAAACCCAAATCTCCAAAAACCAAAAGTTTCGGTGTTGATACATGTCTAAAAGGGCAAACAATGCTCTTTTGCGGTCCCCAAAATATCTTGGTTTTTCGTGCTGGAATCAAGTCAGGAGTGACTCCTAGTGATATTCCAAAGGTTGATTTTAGGACAGCTCTCAATCAAATTTTGATCTATGCCCGTACCCTCACGGGGATGACCAAAATACTTCTTCGTCATCCACGTACGGGGTACGGGAATCGGTCAAAAATGACTATAAAGATTTTTAAAAATTTTTGATGAAAATATCGACAACACACACAGTCTATATTAAATATAAAGTCTCAAAGAAATTTCATCCATTGGCTGAGGCATGAGCCTGAAAGGGTTAATGACTGCTTTTCGTAAACGACATAATAAAGTAGTTAAATATTTAATACATCATATTTGATAATTTTCATCAGATGCTAATTGTCGTCGTTTAATAAATGCAATAACTGATAAAATAAAATCTCAGTATTTTCTTTCGTTTTTATGTATTAATAAATTTTCTTTTAGAATCTATTAAAAAGATGTCAAACATGTATGGATCAAATAATTCATCAACAACATCATCAATAAAACAACAAACAAATCAATTTTATTCAACCACAACAATTATTTCATTAGATCGACGGCAACAACAGCAAAAACCATTTTAACCTATTGAATCACATCGTGCATCGATACCAACAACACCTAATATTACATATAATGAAAATCCTCTTTAAATAAGAACTAAATTTAATAGAATATTATCAACAAATATCATCAATGATACTTAATAATTCAGCTTTTACTAATATGTCATGTAGTAGATCGAATCTCAATCCAAGTGCACCAGAATTTCAACATTATAATCGTTTACCATCACTATTTATTCCACCGCCAATACAATCTTCACAAGCATCCATTTCAAATGGACCATTATCAGCAAATATCATAAATATTGATCGTATAATGGAACAAAAACAACAACAACAACAACAATTATATATAAATAATACTAATGTTCCAATACATCCGCCGCCGCCATCACTACCTTCACAATCAGTAGCACCAATATGATGATGAAGAAGAAGATTGTGGGTATATCAAACCAGACAGTAATTCAAATGAACGTTTTATTGTTTATCTTTATGAGTAAATGACTTTATTTATTCATTTTCTTTTTTCATTTCCAAAATTTTTTATAGTTGTCAAGGTGATTATATTCCAAAGCAAGGTGATAAGATGATATTTATAAAAAAATTCTTGCCACCAGAAAATGAAAAAATAAAAGCAGGACATGTACGACTTCGTCCTTCGGCTGAAGATGTTACATATGAAGCACGAGAAGAAGATGTTGAACATTATATGGAACATGAAGAACCATCAACAGCATGTTCGATTACCGTTGGCCATGAACCAGCTGATATTGGATCATAATCAACATCATCCTTCTCGTGTTGATTAAAAAGATTTTTTTACAAAAATGTAAATAAAACCTATTGGATTTATAAAAAAGAAAAAAACGTTTTTTTATTCATATATGGTTATCGTCTGTGATTTCTTTTTGTTTTTCTCTTTTTTGTCATCAACACCAGGTGAATATTTGAACTTTTACTTGGAAAAAAAAACTTCTATGAGTCTGATTTTTTTTTCCAATGTAGTATGATTATCTTTTTCTTTTATCTTCTAGATTTTGATACATGGTGAGAATGGAATTTTAGAAAATAGTTTGAAGATATGTATTCTTCTAGGAAAATCAAGGTGCAAGTAATCAAAAACAAGGTGATGAAACTGGAGATAAAGAGATAAGAAAATATATTAATAGAATAGAATTAAATATGTTTATTGTAGAAAAAAAAATGATCTGCCAATTTCAAGATGAATTGGAAAATGAAAAAAAAAACGTACAAAGGGCTCTGAAGCCACGAATAAATTATCACAAGTTTTACCATATACATGTTGTCGTCGGAAACAATTACGATTTGAATGTATTAAAGATTATTTATTATTAGAAGAAGAATTTATCAAAAATCAAGAACGTTTAAAACCACAAGAAGATCGTCATGAAGTAAAAAAAAATATATTTGTTCTAAATATAAAAATTACGATTGATTATTATAGGAAGAACACTCGAAAGTCGATGATATTCGGTATATATAAATTTTTTCTCTGGAAATCATAAATATGTATTCTGTTTTAGAAGATCATCAATGGCTGTTGGTATTTTAGAAGAAATTATTGATGATAATCATGCTATTGTTTCCACATCCATTGGTTTTGAACATTAATTATATTACTATCATGTCATTTGTTGATAAAGATCAACTTGAATCAGGATGAACGGGTTTATTAAATCATAAAGTAAATTATTGATTTATTTTAAAAAAGTTTTATCTTTTAGGTTCATGCTATAATTGATGTCTTAGGTGATGATGATGTTGATTCAATGTTTACTCTTATGAAATTTGAAAAAATCAGCAAAAGAAATGTACGATAATGAATGAAACAAATATTTTTTGACTTGTTTTCAATGAATTTAGATATGCAGATATTGATGAGTTAGGAATACAATTCAGGAGATTAAAGTAAGGATAGAATTTTTATATGAAACTCACATAATTGTTTTATTTTCTATGGAAGCTATTGAATAATTTTTAATTCATCCTGAATATTACAAAGAGATGGATACAAAATCACCTAAAAGTATTATTCTCTATGATCAATCAGGTAGTCCAAGTATATAATTAATAAGACTTTTTCGAATCAAATAATTTTTTATATTAAGGTAAAACTCTCCTTGCCAAAGCTGTAGTCAATCAAATATCAGCAATAAATTGATGTGTAATTGACTCGGAATTAAATCAAAGATGGTTGGTAATTTCAATTTTATTATTTTTTTAAATTTATTGATTGAAAATTGTAGGGCGACGAACTAAAACTTATATAAATTATTTCGAGTTGTTGAAGAATATGTTTCAAATATTGTTTTTATTGATGAAATTAATACTATTGAAACAAGACGGCACATTCTTGACACTTTTTTCTATTATGAAATTTAAATTTTGTCTTTATTTCTTTTAATTTAGTTGTGTATATCGGCAAAATCGATTCGATGAACATTTTGCTCGATTTACATCGTCTTGATAAAGAACATTTGTCATTTTGTTAGAATTCATCACGAGATGATTTGAATGCTAATCCATAGCAACAATAACAATCTTTCCCACTTCAACCATTAATATTGATATTTCTTTTTTTTTCTGTGTTTTGTCTTCTCAGTAATGTTTAACTATTCTCAAACAGTGTCATTATTTTTTCTTGTATAAGAAATTATTGTTGTTTTTTTTCAAAGCAAAAAAAATTTTTTTTCTTAATTAAATTGATTAATAACATTAAGAAAAGTACACTAAAATATCGTTTGTTCATTAGAGAATTATTACTATTGTTGTTTTCGAAATAGAAGACAGGTTGCTATTTTATGAATAATTAGTCTACTGAGTACAAAATGTAGATCTATGATTCTCATTGTCCGAAAGTGCGATGTTCGGATGATCGATCTGTATAAAAGTCATAAGAGCATAAGATGTTGTTTGATAGGAGCTTTTCGATCGGCACTTTTTTTCTTCGCATTTTATCATCCATTTATATAATAATATGAATTCAAATCACATCAAAATTTAGCTCAAATTAACGTTTCTTCGCTGTAAAATTATCACATATAGTAAACTTCCCTATTGTGAACACCATTGAGACTGAAAAAAATCATTCACTATAACAGGACAATCACTTTCGAGATGTATCATGCATGTAAAAGTAAGAGAGATGTTTATGGTGGTGATTCTGCCGTGGCGATGACATACGGCAGCGACAAATTTTTTTAGAAATCATCGTGGCACGGCGACAATAACTTTTTAATAAAAAGTTCGAAAAATTCATGAATTTATACAAAACCTTGGCTTTCATTTATATGTAAAATTGTAAGACTTAATGAATTTGATTGAGCAGCAGCAGCAGCAGCAGCCGCAAATTTTCAGTCATAATGGACATCTATAAAAAGCAACAATGAATTTTTTAAATTACTTTAATTCTTGTTTATTTTTTTTACTTTAACTTGGTTTTTTACTAATTTCTGGCTAGCATCAGCTTCAACTGTTCTATCAATTACTGTTGAGAAAGATGTAAAAAAAAATGAGAATTGAGTGCTCTCTAAATCTAGGAAACAAAATGATTAAACTGTAGTAAAAGTGAGAATCTACGTGTTGATCAATACATAATTTCTACGTCAAAGAAATCTTGCACATTTGACTTATGTGTTTGGTCGATTAGCTTCGTCCAATAGTATGCTAGTTGATTACATGTGATCTCATATATTCATGTGCACCAAATATGAATATATTAATGACAATCTCTTTTCATGTCATATGCTCTCCGTGCAGCGCTTTTCTTCAAAGTCATATGATACATTAATATCTCTATAGAAATATCATCTGATACATGTTTTCATAATGTTTTTCTTTTTCTTCTAACAAAAATAGATGATGTTCTGTTGTTTCTTATCGTATACACATTCATAGAAAACAACGTATAATGACGTAATGCATCATATGCTGATAACTCATGACATCAATAGCGAAGAAATAACTGAGATAGTATTTCTTTTAGAATGTACTCTTTCATT